CCAAGCCCGTCTGTACTTCATCGGCAATCAACAGTACATTATGTTTTTCACATACTTTCTTGACTTCTCTCATGTACCCATCATCCGGGACGACCACTCCAGCTTCTCCTTGAATGGGTTCGACCATGAATGCGGCAATATGCTCTCCATCCTTGTCCAATTCCATATCCAGCATATCGACATCTCCATAGGGAATGGACGAGAACCCCGGCATGTAGGGACCAAAGTTTTTGAATGCGGATGGATCATTGGACGAAGAAATGGCCGCCAGCGTCCGTCCCCAGAAATTGTTGTTGGCAAACAAGATTCGTGCCTTGTTTTTGGGAATGTCCTTGACTTCGTATCCCCATCGTCGTGCCAACTTGACGGCGGTTTCGCCTCCTTCGACACCCGTGTTCATGGGCAAAACTCTGTCATAGTTAAAGTATCGCGTGATAAATTCGGAATATTCTCCCAAGCAATCATTGTAAAAGGCTCGACTGGTCAGTGTCAAAGTCGACGCTTGTTCTGTCAGGGCCCCAATGATTTTGGGATGGCAATGACCTTGGTTGACCGCCGAGTAGGCCGAAAGAAAATCAAAATACTCCTTGCCATCCACATCGGTGACTTTGGTTCCCTTGCCTTTGGACAGAATTACCGGAAGGGGAGCGTAGTTGTGAGCTCCATACTTTTCCTCGAGAGCAATGCACTCTTCCGCCGTCAAGGCAGTCTTGGGGACATGTGTAGAAGCCGAGTAACTGCGAGCAAACGCAGTCTGGATAACTCGTAGTTGTTGTTGTTTGGAAGCTAGAGACCGGATCATTGTTGTGTTTGTTTTGTGAAATGTGATGTTTCCGTGATGTGATGGCTATTTTTGATGGCGTTTGATACTCCAACTAACTGGATAACCAGCCAATAGAATAGAACGAGGACCTCTTGACTAACTACTATCTTCGCTTTGAGCAATAGTTTTGTGAGCTATCCGTTTGGCGGCAGATTCGATTGGATTCATTGATGGCATCATTGAAGGAAATGACTGATCTTCCACTCGGAAGATCGGAGCTGACGTATGCGACTGGACAGCTCGTGACCAAACCTTCCGAGAATGAGACTCATAACCTCCCGAACAAGGCGTCCAAACTTTGATGCATGATCGGCACGCGCACAGGAGCAAAAGAAGAAAGATCTTTGGTTCCAGGTGGAAGATGTGAGGAGTTTTGCTCGCAATGACGTGTGCAATTTGTGACAACAACTTTTTTTTTAAATTAATCCGTGAGGTTTCCTCACGACTTAATTTTGGGGGTTTTCAAAGGGGGTTGGATGAAACATTTTTTGGCAAGGATTCCCTATACTAAATCAGTACAAAAAGCCTTTTTTGCAGACTTCATCCGGTGGCTTTTCGGCATGTTGGCACAACCATGGTAAAACATACATTAACAATATCCTGTGCACTGACAATGGATAAGACATTTTCGGTGGTGTGAGTTCATTGAAAAAGCTTTGGGAAGAAAAACTCATCGAGACTTATGGATCAAAGTCAGCAGGAAGACAAGTTTTAGCACGTCAGATGCATACTGGTAGCAACCTACTACAGCTGTAGTATCACTGCAGCGTTGATTGCCATGGTGCTTGTTGGTTGTTGTTCTAGTTGCTGTTGCATCTACTCAAGTGCCGGTATCTTCATTGTCAATATTCCCTCACAGTGTTGGTATCTGAGAGTGTGTTTTGACTGAAAGTGGAGAGGAGATACCAGAATGCAAGTGGCTGGATGATGGACTACTAGCTAGTAGCTACGAAAGTCTACCGTTAGTACATGTACCTTGCCACTTGCCACTACCACAGGAGCGAACCATTGGATCCCTCTCTACTGGTAGACCGGCGGATGAATGAATCCAACCTCGACGCACCTCCACCGTCTATAAAGCCTGAGTCGAGTGTACCGTCTATCAAGCCTGAGTCGAGTCGAGTTAAATTGGAGCGTCTCTGGTGCAGCTATTTCATGGGGAAAGTCTGACTGCAGTGTTTGCTTCTTGGATGGCCTTGATGTGAAGGATCGAATGGCTATCATGAAAAATGTGTGGTATTCTTGTGGAAGAATAAGTGAGATGGTGATGCACAATGCACAACAGGTGCATAAAGAAAAACACATAAGCACCCACCCTGTCCCCCATGGCGCTTCACCCAGTTGTTACTCCAGTCGACAAGCAATCCTTTCGTCGCCATGGTGCATGTTGCTCCCGTCACCGCCACTGTTCCTTGAATCTATTTTCGATGTCAAACATCCCTGCATCCTCATTGTCAATGTCTTGGCTGATGGGAGTGTATTTTGGCTGAAGAGGAGATAATGCGACACTAGCTAGCGAAGCGTTGAACCAATTCTCTTGATCGAACCGTTGGATCCCTCTCTACTCTACTAGATACCGGGAGACTGGCTGGCAGAATGAATCCCCAGTTGATCGATTGCACCTCTAGGACTGGCTGGCAGAACGAGTGACTCAGTCAATCGATCACACCTTTAATGCATGCTACCCGTACCAATATCAAGCCTCAGTCAATCGGCGCGTCTCCGGTGCAGAAGGGAAAGCCATCCTTTATTGGAATCATACCAGGTCGGGAAGGTTTTCTTTTCTCGGCCCATGGCAGTCAAGTTGGAGAACAAGGGTAAGTCTCCGGTTGTCTGCAGTGAAACACAGAAAACAAAACTCATGTCTATTTGTTGTTTTGGAAATGCCATTTTGGAATAGAATGAATCCTTTTCATATATGTATCAGCTCAGAAAGGTGTTCTTTTCTCAGCCCATGACAATCAAGTTGGACAATTTGAAGTATCAGGGTATGTAAACAAACAGTTGTCTGCAGTATCAAAATAGAAGAGAATTCCACATCTATTTCTTAGTTTCTATTGGAGTCAATCGATCACTCCAACTATGGCATAATACCATAACAAGGAGGAAGAGGCTTCTGTCGATCGCAGTGGCTGGTACTGTTAACTTCAGCTATCACCCCCTGAACGAATGTCGTCGAGTCATTGAAAGCAAGAGGTGACAACACACACCGGAGATTGGATCCTCGTATTGGATTCATCCCTCCATGTTTTGCCTAATGATGGCAGCTTCAGTAGTCGGCATCAGTAGTAGTAGTAGTAGTAGTAGTAGTAGTAGTAGTAGTAGTAGTAGTAGTAGTATAGTATAGTAGTAGTAGTAGTAGTAGTAGTAGTAGTAGTAGTATAGTAGTAGTAGTAGTAGTAGTAGTAGTAGTAGCATCAGTCAGTACTGGTAGTCGCGCAATGTAGTAATGGTAGTAGTCCAGACCACTTCCAGTGGCCCATGCAATTCGAGGCGCCATTCCTTACAAGGGGCAAGGGGTGGCGGATCTGGAAATAGACTGACAGGACTACTCAGCAGTGCAGCATCTGGCTGGCTTTGGGAGATTCAACACTGGTGGAGTTTCTTCTGTGGTTGTGGGGGCATCTGTTTCCACAGTTGGAATGGTAGTGATAATTGTAGCTGGCACTGTTGGCAATGATATTGGTTGTTCGGTGCAGGTGTCTTTTATCTCATGGATTCGATTCCAACTGTGCCAAAGCTTTCCACACCAAAATCTCCTTCCCGCGCACTTTTACTACACAGTTGAACCACTCTGTCCGGCCCAGATGGCATCGACGCTATCCATACCAACAGGCCAGAAGACTGGGTTCATGTGAGTTTTTTCGTGGAGGAAAGTCTGACTGCAGTGTTGCTGCTTGGATGGCTTGGTTGGGAGGGCATGCATGGCCATTGTGACGAATGAGTAGAAGCAGTAGTGATGGCTGGAAGCTCCTCTTCCAACTAGAGTAAACTTGTGCTCTTGCATTAGTCTAGCTTCCCTCCTTCAGTGCTACGAAGTCATGACAATGACAGCGCTGGCCTTGACTATTAATACCAGTACAGCGTACCAGTATTTGGATGGCGGGAAAATGGAAGGAAGAGGATGCTTCTGCTGGTGAGTACTACTTACTTCCTCTCCGGACTTTTCCTGCAGGATAGCTACCGGTAGCTAGCGTGTATTGTGTACTCTGTACATGTACCGGCTGCTGCGAAAGTGACTGGACTGGACGACTGGACCAGTCCTGAAAGAACTCCATGGAGCCTCACGCCCTTTTCCACCATTCTACCAGCGCCAAAACAGGTCAACTTTACCTGTTGCAAAGAGTGAAAACTTTAATTCTTTTATTGAATCTCTTAACTCTTCGTCTGAAAATGTGAGCTCTGAGTCGTGCTTAAAAGATCGTGATTCAGATGTCAAATCCAATCCCAACGTCTGTCCTCGACAGGTCCTTTTGTGTAGGCTCAGTACATTTTCTACACAACTTTACCTGTCTTATTTTACTTTACCTGTTTTGGCGCTGGTAGCATTCTTTGATTGGCCCGTCGTGTGTCACAAGCAACCAGAAGTGAAAAGAAGCAGTGAAAAGTGCCGAGCCAAACGCCGCATTGGAAGTTGTTCTGTTGTTCTGGAGCTGACAAATACATCCTTGGGAGGCACTCCATTGGCATTCATTGTTGGTACAAATAAGTTGGTTGCAAGAGACAAATAGCTAGCTCATCACCATGACCATGTCATCCCGACAGATGCGCTTCCACTTTGACTGGGTGGATCATTGGGTGGAAGAGGAATCGGCGGAAAAATCGGCCAAGGACATTATGCACCGATCGGCCGGTCGCATGATGAGCATTCAGAATTTCTTCAATGATCTCTCGCTGTATCGATGGCTCAAAAAATCCACCAAGGGAAAGGTTGAATTGGCGCGTGTCGTTGTCTTTCACAGCGACTCGTTCGTCTTTGGTCTGCAAGCCGTCTATCGCGTTTATTACAGTTCGAGTAGTGAAATCCGCGAGGTTGCCGCCGAAAAGCACGTTTATGCGTCTGGCTTTTATGCACAGGGACGTCCTCCCATGGTGTCCACCTTGGAACTGGCGGCCGGGGAATTCATTATCGATGTGACTACGCGACAGGGAGAAGTAGTGGATCAAATCACCTTTATCACCAACCAACGAACGGTCCGATTTGGTGGTTGGGGTGGCATGGCACAACCGTACCAGTCGAATCATTTTGCCCGAGGCGTCATGAGCCGCGTGGTCGCATTTGCCGGAACCAAAGCCGGAGCACTCGAACGAGTGGGATTCTTCCTAGAGCCCCTTAATTGGGAGGCCGTTCGACCCATCGTCTTGACGCGGAGGTTGCTGGAAGAGAAAAGAGCGCTGCCCGATAGAGTCAACTGTGAAAAATGGACGCCACAAGAAACCAGCGTCCATGATTTCTTGACAAGAGCCAATGATGATATCTTCTTTCGAGTGGCCAGTTACCG